CTCAACTGACACGTTTGACACTGGAACTCTGACACTGAACATGACTTAAATAAAACCGGAAACAAAGACTTTACTATTTCAAAAGAAACATGACTTAACCGACTATGCCACAAAAAAAATTGACTCTTATTTGATTGACTGTATGACTCCGAGGATGACACTGAGAGACCAGCTTTGTTGTCGAGAATGTAGAGACCATCCACTAGGCTCCCTCTACCAATCGTCCTCCTACAAGTTAGATCCTGAAAAACACATGAACAAGGAAAATAGGTTACACTATTGATTGAAAGCAAATTTATAGGAAGTTGAGGGACATGCAATACACAATTCAGGTTAAGGCCATGGGGAAGTGATACACAATTCAGGGACATGCAATACACAATCCATCTGCAAGCCTCACTTCATCCCTTCCTGACAAAAGGCTATAAGTTTGAAACAAGTTCGGCTTATCGGTCATGTGGTTAGAGGCTCCTGAGTCAATGATCAAAGGGGAACCAGTGGTAGTAGTGACATGGAATGCAAAAGCTGCATTACCTGATGTAGATGCAAATGAAGGAGTACTAGTGACTGAACTATCCATCTGTCGCAAAGCCCTACCATATGACCCCAAGTGGTCTCTGAAGTAATTCATGATATCTTCCTTGGGGTCAGAATTAGTAAGGTGGTCCCGGGTAGTACCTACAACATGAGTATCTTGGGTTGCCACATGTGCTGCATTAGGTGTTGTGTCCGTCTTCTTCTGACCTTGCCCTTTACCCTGTTCTTGGTTCTTCACTGCCCACTTGGGTTTCCTGTGAATGTCCCAACATGTGTCGTGTATGTCGTGAGCGCCGACAGTGGGTACAAAACAACTTGTCTTTATCATCAGCCTTCTTGGTGTCACTTTTCTTCCCTATGTTGTTATTACTCATTGCAGCCAATGCAACTTGTTGCTCCCCCTCGGTTGTAACCATCACACTCCACCTACTTTCTTCAGATTGAACAAGGGCATATACCTCGTGAACCGACGACAACTCTTTACTTCCTAAGATTTGAACTCTCAAGGGTTCATAGGTAGGGTTCAGTTCCAACAAGAAGGCAAACACATGCTGTTGAGAAACCAACTTTCTGTATGCCTTAGTGATGAAGGAAGATTTGGCCCGACCTCGTAATCACTCAACACGTGGCAAAGGCAACAACTCGGCACAACAGCGCGCCCAAGGCGCGAGCACCAAAAGGAGGAACCACCAGTCT